GGTTTTCGGTCCTAGCTAACGGCCTGTCACTCTACTATCGATGTTCCATAGCTGAGGAAGGTAATCTATGATAGCACGAGGATGTTGAATGAGGGGGTTGGTAACACGCCCTACGATTGATAGTGAGTTATCCTTGATGAGATTCGAGTTGTCTCCAATGGGAATACGGAGGGGGGAGCGTTTCCTTTGTCTCGATCCAGAAGGGACCCATTTCCCTTTCTCTTCTCTTGAATACCGATTAGTCATAGTGGCCTAGGAAAAGGAAACAGTCCTGATGAAGCCCAAGAGTAAACTTGAAGTAGATTTGGAGAAGTTTACCAATTTTCGAGCAGTTGACTGAGTAAATCCAAAAAAGCTCTAAACCAGAGTATACGAAATCTCTATAGTAGAGTAAACAGGGGAATCTCTAATACAGAGTAAGCTGAAAAAACCAGTGAAGCTGATCAAGAAGTAGGCTGCATAAAGCAGTAAGGTTGAGGAGGATAATATGGCCGGCAAAAACTCCTCCAATTATTGATTGTATTTCGTAGGAAAAACTTCTCACACTACTTCCCAAACGAAGGTATGTTGAGATGAAAGAACCGCCAACAAATTGGACCTCCGGTTGCCTTCACAAGGTCATGAGGCTCAAGGGAGGCTCGTAGAGCCTAACAGCTCATCGTCGGAGCTCCGGTTGCGGGCAGGGAAACTATTTTCGGGAAAGAAAGTTTGGTGGAGAGGGATGGTAAAAAAGTGAATTTGAAACTGTTACCAAAAGCAGTAAAAACCCATCGGATAACTTTGACTAATACCGATTAACCAGCGGACACATATTTATCTCGGGGTTAGTGTCTGAGAGAGAAAAAAGGCTGATAATTTCTGAGACCACAGAAGATCTATATATCATCAATTGTATAAAATTTCTAAGAGAGAAAGTAGTAAGATTGCAAAATTTGATCCAGTCAAATAAGAACATACTATTATTTTAGTTTGTTTTTCATTCATTTTAAATACGACGAATCCAATTTATTTTGTTGGTACATACGACGAATTTAACCATATAAAATCCATAAATGATCTTATTCTTTAACTATATTTTTTTTAATGAAATTCTTGTTTTAATTCAAATTTAAGATTAAGAGATTTTATTATTTGAAAAATATATTAACGACAAAGTAGTAAGTAGGTTAGATGTTTGTGGATACAAGATCCGGTTGGATGAAATGTTTATCGTTAAAAACAATCGAATCCAAATATTTCATTTTGTAGCCCAAAAATGTAATTTATTGATCGGACCATAACAAATAATATAATTTTATAGTTTTGAGGTTTTTTTTCAAGTAACGTTTTTGGCTCGAATTTTAGCATTCAAATTTGCTTTAAAGTCAAGATCCAAACTTTTTCGACATTAAATTTTCTCGAACTTTGTAGTTGATTACGTTTTATGAGTAAATGAATTTACAAAATTACGAGTTCGGACAATAGACTTTCTGAATCGGATTTGTATGTGAGATCTGAGATCAGTAAAATATCGAATGATAAAAACAAACACTGTTGAATTCTTCATGAACAACATACATAGAAACAGATACAAATTAAAATTCCATAGATTTCAATTACTTCAAATGCACAAATCCTCCAAAGTTGCTTTGACGAAACATTAAAATTTTTATTTATAAAAAAGATACCAAAAAACAAAAACATAGCAGCGAAACGACGACGTTCGGAGCTTGTTTCGGGTTATTTTTCGTCCATCACCTTTAGAGCAGAAAAACGTGAAATCTGAATCTCTCTTTCGCTGTCCGATTCCGACAGATAGACAGGGGAAGAGAGAGGGCGCGAAACAGAGAGAAGAACGATCTCTCAGACATGGAAGATCCTTCGAACGGGAAATCAAACCAACGCCCACAACAATGTCCACCTTTGACCAACCAAACCTTAGCTCCAACTCCATCTCCATTTCGTGGTCCGTACCATCGACGAGCCCATTCAGAGGTTCAATTCCGTCTCCCTGAAGATCTAGATCTCTCTGAACCATTCGGTGGATTCGACGAGCTTGGATCCGAAGATGACCTCTTCTGCTCATACATGGACATTGAGAAACT